GGTAGCTGGTCAACCTGCAAGCGTTGGATGAAATGTTAGGCACTTTACAAGTTACGTACATAATACACGTCAGTTTAGGTAGAAAGAACTTACAGTGAACTGAAGCAGCCACCTCTTCGTAGGCCCGGTGTTGCGGTGCTGCTGCAAAGGCTCGAGCGGTAGACCTGGTAGGCGCTGCACGGGTGCGAAACGTGCCGTCAGCTCGTCCTTCCAGTCGACACCCATGTCAACTGGCCCGACAGCGTCTCCCGCGAGCGGTAGCCCCAACAAGTAAGAGACATCCTGCAGGGTAGGGGCTACCTCACCGCACGGCAGGTGAAAAGTGTGCGTCTCCGGCCTCCACCGGTCGACCAACGCTGCTAGGAGGGACCTGTCCGGGTCCCAACGTCTCGTCACGTCATCGTCGCCGGTCGCGGCCTCAACTAGCCGAGCCAACGGTAAGAGACCGGCCTCACGCAACCTGCGAAAGCGAAATAATACCAGACGTTAAAATGAACACATTGCTAAGCCCCCTCCACCGTAGTAAGGTAAGCCCGGTGTCGTGAACACAGTAAAACCATACCTCTCGACGAAGGAGTCGTGAACCAAAAGTCGCTCACGTGACGACCGTGGACGGAACGTCCCAAGCTGAGCCCCCTCCACCGCAGTAAGGTACGACCGGTGGCGCTGATCTATCGCCGGATCCAACAACTCAGGATGTGCCATCTCTGCAAGTAACGTGTTACATGTTAGGGTAAATAAGAAGGTAATAATATAATTGTAAAAACAAGTTATCTGAAACGGAAGAATACTTATAGAGACATGCAAGAGTGCAGATTATTGAGAACATAACTTTCGTTACACAAAGGCACGTAACGAGAATGAAATAACATAAAACAAAATTACAAGCCGTAAAACATGAAGACATTACATGCGGAAGTCTAACAAGTGGTTCGCAACACAACACAATGCGAACATATCGATAAGTTCGAACGAAATTACAAGCAAAGCCTTTTGCCAACATACAACACACGAACTACACCACGTAACCGGTCGTTCCACGAGAACGTCTAGGACGGGGTCGCCTTGAAGTAGTGCCTTCACCCGTAGGGCGAGCTCCATCTGCTGCTGATCCTGATAGACCTGCCTCCGCCGCACTTGGTTTTTCCTTGTCTTTAGGACAATACTTGTAGGTGTGGCCACGTTCATCGCATTTGCTGCACCGCTTCACCCTGCCTGCCTCCGACTCATCCATATCGTTGCGGATGCGCCGAGTCTTCCTCCGTCCCGCCTTGTCTCGGAGTTTCGTTGGGTCAGGAATATAGATTATCGGATCGTTAATCTTTGTGAACTCCCCAGCTACACCGAAGCCAAAAATCTCGCCACTCCATGTGTGATATATTGCTTGCTTGGAGAAGTATTGTGACACATATACTGCATCTTGGATGCCACACTCAGATGCCGCGGAAATGACATGGGTGCATGGCCTGTGGAGCAGCGTCGGCTTTCTACAGGAGCAGTGACATGTGCCGTCGTCTTTGAGAACGCACTCCTGCTTTACTCTCTTGCGGTAGATACCCCTGCCTGCCTTGTCTTGGCAGAGTACCTCAAACCTGTGTTGTTGGGTACCTTGCACTAGAGCTCGATGTTTCATGGCCTTTGCACGCCACTCCGCTAGTTTTTTCTCCATGAAAGTTCCAAATAAAATGTTGTTGTTCGGCATAGAGGGAAAAACTGCTTGGAACCGCTCCCTGAAATACTTGCATGTCCCATGTAAAATGAACTCCACTATACCAACTAGTGGGAGTCCACGGACACCGCGCATCACCCAGTTGTAAACTTCCGCCAAATTTGTTGTCATTATACCATATCTAGCACCACCTGTGTCATAAGTCTTAGCCCATTTCTCTTTTGGCTCATTCTCAATCCACTGAGAAAATTTTCGAATTTGCTCCCCAGTTCTTCTAACCAATGTTACACTGTCTGTTGGGAGAGCTCCGAGTGCTTGAGGAGGGTCAGGTACAGCGGCCGCTGGTCTTGTTGCACGCTGGTCACTACATTTGCCTGTCAACTCATCTAATCTCTTCCAAAGCTCATTGAATTTTTTCTCCTGGTTCTGATTGCATAGCCTCTTGAACATGTTCATCAACTCCTTGTTCTTAAATTGCTTGAAGAAATTAGCTCCCATATGACGCATGCACCACCTGCTTTGTACATCTTCCCACTGGCCAGGGTATCCTCTTTCCATACTCCCAAACTTTAACTCTTCTATCGCTCGAAGCATACCGGCGTGCCTGTCATGTATTAGACACACATTGGGCCTCATACCAACAACTTCTGTCTTAACCAGATGGAGGAACCAGTACCAGCTGTCGGTGTTCTCGCTCTCGACAAAAGCAAATGCCAACGGCAATACCTGATTGTTCCCATCTACCCCAATTGCCGTTAGTATCTGGCCCCGATACTTCCCGGTCAAAAATGTGCCATCAATACAAAGAACTGGACGACAGTGCACGAATGCCATCTTGCATGCATGTAGAGCTAAGAACGCTCTTTGCAGCACAGTCTTGCCAGGATGTTCAATTGAGGGGAATGTCTTGAGTGCACAAGAGGTCCCAGGGTTTCTTTGTTGGATAACAGATAGCAGACGTGGCAAATTGTCATATGAGGCTTCATAAGTTCCAAATCTCATCTCTATTATTTTCTGTTTGGCCCTCCACGCCTTGGCATAGCTAATTGTATACTTGAAAGTCTGTTCGATATGTCGGATTATTGACTTCGGTTCATATGCCAGATTGTCCACGACATGCGCATACATCTCAGATGCAACAAATGCACATGTAATGTTCCTGTGGTATTTTTGAACACCAGGTAGATAACAAGTATGTTTCGTAACGACCGACACTGTCCAGTAGTCCTTCCATTTCCCCTTATAGGCGTGCACTCTCCACGGACACCCATCTTTTTCATTAACACACCTAACTTCATATTGTGTCCGGTTAGACTTGGCAACCCAAAACTCCCTATGAAGTGACACTGCATAATGCTTCACCGCCTCCTTCATGTCTTCTCCATTACCATACCTCGCTCCCTCGATAATCTCGTTTTCCTTGTACTCCCATCTCACATTTTCCCCTTCAGAGATGACCAAACCAGAAAAATCATCACTAGCCCATTCAGCTGGATTAATATTGTTCTCGTCATCATCTGACGAATCATCTTCCTCGACACGCTCGTTGTCACGATCCTCTTTTTCCATTTCGTCCACAATGGCACCCACAGTCTCCCCCTCGTCAGCCACTCCACCAGGTTGCATGCCTACTGGAGCTACTACTGGAGCTACTCCATCTTCCTCTGGTGCGTTGACCTGATCCACTTCAATCTCATTCACTTCTGCACTTGGCCCCTCGCCATCATCCATGTTCATCTGTACACTTGGATCCTTCGGATGAACATACGGAACCATAGCTAGAGGCCACCCACGTTGCAATGCATTCTCCACATACCATCTCCACATCCCAGAGTTTTGAACCGGCATTAGTTCCCAATAAAAACCCTCTGTTGCCCGACTTACTACAACATAGATTGTAATGTCACTAGTCTGTGGATCAACTCCCAAGCCCCGCATCAACCATTTTTTAATAGAAGGTACACTCCTCTCGGCTGGCCTATCAATTCCCCTTGCTGTTACAATAAATTCTGACAGATCTACCCCAGTTGGCCCATAACGGACGTTTCCTTGACCATGGTATAGTTGAAATATAAGTTTACTGGACATATCTGCAAAGTTAATTACTAGGCCGTTATTTTACATAATAAACGACTACAGTGTTTAACCGAGCCCCCGGCGGTTTTTGAAACCCTTCCTACATCTAACAATATATATTTATATAGTACCACAGGTAAAACTCTATTTCATACAATGCATTTATCCAACCAAAGTTCTACAAAAATACAAGTGATATCCTAGTTAACATCATATATTTAGTCACGTATATAATCTACGAATATTACCTGAAATCGAAGTTTGAAACCGGCAGGGCTTCGCCTCTTCTTTTCTTCTCCTCCCCTTCTCCTTTTTTTTTTTTGATGTGGAGAGGCTAGGAGGGAATGGGCTCCTCAAAGGAGCCGGCTGGGCTTTATAGGCGGCCAGGCCTGCCGCCCTCTGTAAGGGCGGCAAGTGGGTCCTGCCGCCCTTTGCCAGGGCGGCAAGAGGGCAGGAGGACGGCCGTCCCGCGCCGTCCAGCGCGGCGTGTGCCACGTCGGCTTGCCGCCCTTGCGAAGGGCGGCAGGGTCTAGTTTTGCAAATTTTTTCGGCGCTATAATATTTCTGTAAATATTAAAAAAAAAAATCTAAAAATACAAAAAATTCCTCTTCTCACTGCCTCCAAACATGGGGCACGTTCGGACTCGCGGATCGCGGTTGGGTTTCTTGTGCTCGGGCCCGCAACAAGTCTTGGTGGGCCTCATGAGAAGATACGGCCCAACAACTCAACACCTCCGTAAATTTTTTTCTTTTTTGTTTTGACAATAACACTCTACGAGATTTGGGTTACTATTAGCATAAATAGCATTTGACATTAATGCTACACTTCTAACTGCCGAACTGCCGACAGGGATGGATCCATAAAGAAATAATATAAGGTCTAAATAAACTAGATTAGTTACAAACTTACAACCCCTTCACATCTATGTATAGCAAGAAAATAAATAGTGGGATTTCGTGAAGGCTTCCATGATCCTCGCACAGTAGTAGAGGCTCCAGCCCTCAGTCGCGGATCGTTGTGATTGCGTTTTCTGTGCTCGGCCTGCGACGAGTATGTGAGCCACATTAGCAGATCCGGCCCAATAAGAGCTCCCTAAAGTTACCATGCTTTTCTACCGAATTTCCTTCTTCAAGTTGACTTTATGAATAATGTAAACGATCTGAGCTGGGTTACTATTAACCTGGACTGCTAACATTGATCACAAGGATTCGCTGCGATACGATCCGTGTCATCAACGTATCACACAATCACACGTGTTTGTTTTGTATAAACCAACAATTCTGTTTGTTCCTTTTTTTTTTGTTTTTTTGACAGAACAATGCAACGTCTCTTTTGCCAGTGCCAGTGCCATGTGCAGGTCATGCATTTGGTCTGTAAATTAACCCATCGAACAATTTCATAATGTCAAAAACTAATTAAAAGGCAGAGATAGATCATAGATGCATGGAGCAAATGAGAAAGGAGGAAGGGATGAAGCGGCGGCGGCGGCGACATTGCTGCTCGATCTCGTTGCTACTGCTTCTGTCCTTGTTCGTCCTCCTCACATTGCTGCACATCGCCCTGCTCACCGGAGGTACGTACGTATGTAAGTCGCATCCTTGTTCATCATATGTACCAATAGTGCATAGACATTAATTTCATCTGAATTATATATGCAAAAAAAAAAACATTTCTGAACTTGGTAAGCTTTGCCTTGGAGCAATGAAGGGCAGTCCATGGCCGGGCGAGGCGGCGGCGAGCCACCGCCGGCGCCGACCTCCAGCGGCGGCTCCCATGAAGCTTTCACTTGGCCCGGCTACGGCGACGTGCTGCCGGTGCCACCTCTGTCTCCTGACAAGCAGCACTAGTGCCCCATCAATTGACTTGTTCACCAGATCGGATCGATGGCCGGCCGGGAACTCCATGGATCGATGTGGCTGCAAGTTTTACTGCTCTGCACTAGCAATTTGTAATTGGCTGTGTAGGCAATGCTCGCGTTATAGATAAACTCTTTCCTAGCACAACGAATCTGGATAAACAACGAATCTGGATAAACTTGTAGCCAGATTTGTTGAATTAGCAGGAGTCACATTTAAGCCTAGGTTAAGTTTTTTTAGACGGAGAAAGTAGCGAGTAGCAATCAACCTGTACTATTGTACTACATGTATCCACCAATTGCTCTAGTATGCTTGAACATTGCAGATATGGTTGACGATTTCACCTTCTGTTTCAACACCGTCGGTTTAATAATGTTTGCAATTCCTCTTCACATTTTTCACAGAATCGTTATTACTTCTGAATTAATGTTTCTTGCCTTGCTAGTAAATATATATATATATATATATATATATATATATATATATATATATATATATATATATATATATATATATATATATATCAGAATATATAATTTATCTTTACAATCAAGTAGATAATTCATTAAAATAATTCTTTCAATAATCTAAATCAAACATGGGCTAGTCAATCGTCATTCATTTTTCTTTGCTGCCAGCGAATGACACAGCCACCTTCACATGGCTCTGGGCATTGCTCGACTGTGGTTCTATATAAACACGTATTTCTAGTTGGTCACCATTTATTTTTTTTTCTTTGTGGCCAGCAAATGACAGCCACCTTTCACATGGCTTTGGCTTAATTAGCTTGCTCGTCAGTGGTTCTATTCTACTCCTAAATAAACACGCATACATCTAGTCGATCGTCATTATTTCTTTCTTGCCAGCATGCAAATGACACGCGAAAGAGCTAAGAGCAAGTTCAATAGTATAGCCAACTACTAGCTCCAATTTATTTATAGCTAATCTAATAGCTCATTCATATAATAGTTATATACTACACTATTAATATCTAGTCCCACCTGTCATAGACACATTGCGTCTTGGAGTCCATGCTATAGCTGGCTACAAATCTGTAGCCCGCTGCTTTTCTCTTTTCTGATTTATCTTCTTAAAATATGTTTGCAGCTGGTTTATAGCCTGCTATTGTACTTCTCTAAAAGACGAACCCCCCACCCCCCGGGCGCGCGGAGGGGGCCAGGCGGCAGCGCATGGCCGCGTGCTTACGGTGGGGCCCGCCGGTTTTTTCTTTTCCTTTTTTTTGGGTTTTCCTTTTGGTTTTTTCTTTCTGTTTTTTTCTTTTCGGTTTTTTAAGCATATGCGTATATGTATAAAAAGTTTATATATGTGTATACAAACTTTGCATACAACATATATAAAGTTTGTATACTTGTATATGGATATACGTGATTTTTTTTGGTTTTTTCATCTTTTAATATGTACGTATACAAAGTTTATATATGTGTATATTTTTTTATACATAAAAAAATATATATAGTACATATATATATATATATTATATTTTTTATATAGTAATACTAGTAGTAATATAATAGTAGTAAGTTATAGTAGTGTAGTAGTAGACTAGTAGTATTGTAGTAGAGTAGTCAGTAGTACTAGTAGACTAGAGCGCTGGTTGCGCGCCTATGCCTCCGCGCAACTTAGTTGCCCATTAGGGTGACGTCCCACCTTCACATGGCACTGGTCGCGTGTGCTTGTAAGTCTACAGTCAAAGTTCGATCATAATTAAAGCTCCGTTGGATTATACTACCTCTGTTTATGGTTATAATACGTTTTGATTTTGGTCAAAGCCAAATTGCTTTAAATTTAACTAAGTTTATTGAAAAAATAATAACATTTTCAACCCAAGATAAATTTATTATGAAAATATATTCAATTATTGATTTAATGAAACTAATTTGGTATGATATTTATCTATAAACTTAATTAAAATTGAAGTAGTTTGATTTTGACCAACATCTTATAACATAAAACGGAGGAAGTAGTCAAAGTCCCTATACTGCACCCTCTTTACATATCCACACGATGTTTGTTTCTCTTTTTATATACTCCATCCGTCCTAAATATTTAACGCTATTGATTTTTTTAAATATGTTTAACCATTCGTCTTATTAAAAATTTTTATGAATATTATTCAAAACCTTAAATAGTAGTAGTAGTATATTTAATAATGAATCAAATGATAGGAAAAAAATAATAATTACTTAAATTTTTAAATAAGACATCGGTTAAACATATTTTAAAAGTCAACGGCGTCAAATATTTAGGGACAAAAAGAGAGTACATCCTAAACAACCAGCGTAACCAGCTTACCTCGTTTAGGAAAACTAAAACTCTTCAAGTGCACTAGAAATTGATGTAGGTACCATATGAAAAAACATAAAAAGATTGAAAGTTTTGTTTATTACGTGCATAATAGGCTAATTATGCAAGAAATTCAGGTTTTTTTATATCTAACAAAATCTCATCATCCCCTCTCGCTCTAGCATATGTCGTCTTCCTTGCCGTAGAATAACCACTATATCTCTCCTTCTACATTGACATCTTATTTGGTTGTTTGCCGATCATATGCTCTCTTTCTCTCTTCATACTCAACTTTTTCATATATTTTTTTCCGTTACAACACACATAAACTTTGGCTAGTTTCTGAATGCTTGTGCCTTGCAACGAGAATTAATAGAAAACTTTAAAGCCTCAAATTTTAAAATAAAATTATCCTCATTGTAAAACTTTCAGATCATTTTTTCATCATTTTGCATCCCACTTTAAAAATAAATTTTCCTTGTTTTGATGTTTTCTGGTTGGGGAAGGGTTAAAAGTCCACATATCTCACTATTTGAGGAACCCACATGGCAGTCGTGGTGGGCTGAGATGATGATGTGGTGGCATGTTCCCAGACCCTCAAAAAATCTATATTTGAGCTAGTTTTTTTTTTCAAAATGCATACATAAATACAAAATCATGATAGAAATTATATATTTTCAAGTTGTTTTGCCTACCATAGCCTTCAACCATTTCTTATATTTACATGCTGAGTTTGAGAGTGTAGAGGGTTGTAATTTTATCGAAAATATATAGATAAGTAAATATAAAAGTATTGTAACTCCACGTAGTGTTACAACCACAGTGACAGCTGAGCATATTATTTGCATCTTTTTGTGAATATTGTAGTATTATGTATGGTGCAGCAGATCGTGATCTTATCTTTACAAAAAAAAGGGGGGAAGAAATATACTAGCGCATGCACCAGCTGGCGCGGCGATCGATCAATCAGAAACCGGCCGGGTATATATAGCTAAGCTAGGTTCCATCTCACAAACCAATATAATTGAAGGGGCCTGGAGAATTGGAGATGGAGGCAGCAGTGGGTGCGGCGAACTGGGTGGTCGGCATGGTGCTGAACAAGCTGTCCGACGAGCTGATGGCCGGGTACATGGCCAGCCGTGAGCTGGGGCTCAACATGGACCAAATCAAGAGGGATCTGAACTACATGCTCGCCTTGCTGCAAGCCGCCGAGGGGAGGGACATCGCCGACAACCTCGCTGACCTCTGCAACAAGGCAGACGAAGCCGAGGACGTGCTGGACGAGCTCCACTACTTCGTCATCCGGGATGAGCTCGACGGCACTCGAGAGGCCACTCCAGACCTCGGCGATGGCCTCGGTGCTCAGCTTCAACATGCCCGTCATGCTGCTCGCAACACTGCGGCAGGTAACTACTGGCTCTCATGCTTCTCCTCCTGTTGCCGTTCCCAATCCCAACAAGATGATACAGTTACTGGTAATAACCGTAACAGTAGTATGGCAATTAGCAAGACTGAGGAGCATGATCAGAGTGGTGCCAATGGGCATATCCAAGAGTCATTATTTGACAGGGTGGCCATGTCCAAAAAAATTAAGTCACTGATACAGGACGTACATTCCCTATGCCCTCCTATCTCTGACTTGCTCCAGAAATGCTCTCCTTGCGTTCCTCCCTCCATGGAACGGCCTAACACTAGCTCGGTAATTACACAAAACAAGTTATATGGGAGGGATGCCATTTTCGACCAAACAATGGAACAGTTGCTTAAAGGCGGCGCCATGCATCACACACAAAACTACATCATGTCTGTCCTTCCCATAGTTGGCCCAGGTGGTGTTGGAAAGACAACTTTCGCCCAGCACCTATACAACGACCATAGGACCAAACAACACTTCACCGTCATGATCTGGGTTTGTGTGTCTACTACCTTTGATGTCACTGAGCTCACCACAAAAATCCTTAACTCCCTAAATGCAACTGAAAGCCAAGGGACCAATATTAGAGAATCCAGTTTAGATCAGCTTCATAAATCCATTCAAGACAAGTTGAAATCCAAAAGGTTTCTAATCGTCTTTGATGATATATGGGAACACGACTTTAGTAAGGCTGCATCCACAAAAAGATTTAGCAAGACTGAGTGGGAAAAGTTGTTAGCTCCATTTGGAACGGGAGAGACCAATGGCAACATGGTTCTGGTCACAACTCGGTTCCCAAAGGTAGCAGAAACAGTCAAGAAAGGAGCCAATCAAGTTGATCTACATGGGTTGGAGCCTGATGAGTTTTGGGACTTCTTTCAACTGTGTGCATTTAGTGAAACCCAAGATGACAATGATAAAGAAAAATTATTTGACATTGGAAAACAAATAGCAAAGAAGTTGAAGTGCTCCCCACTGGCTGCCAAAACAGTTGGACCACTATTGCGTAAGAAACCCACCAGGAAACATTGGATGGAAATTCTTGAAAAGGAAGAATGGCTAAAACAAAAGGATGGCGATGATAGTATTATCACTGCCTTGAAAATTAGCTATGACTACCTCCCCTTTTATTTGAAAAAATGTTTTTCATATCTTGCCCTTTTCCCTGAGGATTATGAGTTTGATAGTTTAGAGATTAGTTGTTATTGGGACTCAATAGGTATCATCAATTCCAGTGGTAAGAATGATACAATTGAGGGCATTGGATCACAGTATTTGAATGAACTATACGATAATGGTTTTCTAATGAAAGGGGATGATAATCACTACGTAATGCATGACTTACTGCATGAACTTTCGCAGATTGTTTCATCAAGAGAATGCGCAAATATAAATTACTCTAGTTTTAGAGCTGATGACATCCTTCCATCTATTCGCCATCTGTCCATTACCATACAAGATAAATATACTGAGAGTTTTAAAGAGGAAATGGAAAAAATAAAGAAAAGGGTTGACATTAGAAATTTGCGTAGTGTGATGATCTTTGGAAGTTACAGAAGTAGAAGAATTGCTAATGTGGTAAGAGACACGTTAAATGAAATAAGGGCACTTCGCGTTCTCTTCATATTTATGAATTCCCCACATTCCTTGCCCGATAACTT